TGAATCATATGTTATTAAAAAATAATTAAATATATTTAATTAATTTAAAGTTAGATATATATGTTATAAGTAATATATTTATTCATAAAATTAATAATTAATATACAATTGATATAAATTTTTATGTAAAATTTATGAATCAAACTAAAAACTAATGATTAATAATATGTTGAAACTAAGGAAAATGAATGTGATGGGGAGGGGGGAGAATTCCCTTTACTTTATTATTTTATTTTAATTTAGTTATCTATCAAATTGAAGGAAAGGGAAAGGAGGGGAGGGGAAAATTTTGCCCCTCACCCAAAATTCTGGCTCCGTTTCTGTTTATATCATATCAAATTTTAAGTCAATACTTTATATCTATAACCCTACTCATAATTATAGAGATGAATTTTATGATATATATATATATATATATGTATGTATGTATATTTAGAAATTTGGATCTTATGATGATCAATAGCAATTCATGGTTTGGTTTAAATTAGAATATTGTCATTTTTCTCTCCATATAACTGGCTTGATTCTAAGAGAAGGAAAAATGATGTATGAGTAAAACTAATTAAATTTTTTTATAGTTCTATTGTTAATTTAATGACTTATTTTTTAATCCCATTTTCTTTTCTTTTCTTTTCTTTTTTTGGCCAAGATGAATAAGTTAGTTTAATAGGATTTTTTTGGGCAAATTTTGATCTAATAAGCAATCAGTGCGAGAGTGGCACATTTTGTAAATTTGAGACAATGTGTTGCTTATTTAAAAAGTATAATTATGCTTTTACTTTTATTTTGAAATGGGTCTCACTTCTCTTGTCACCCAACCGTGTAATGGCCAGTTCAAATGTGTAACTCCACTGTAACGAAGGCTCCACTAGTTTTCTTACAAAAGAATGATGTCATTCATAAAGGAAGGGCTCATTTGTCACTGTTGAATAGTTCAAGGGTTGAATGCTACTAAAATCGGTTTAGAGGTTAATTTGTCACCAATTGACAAGTTAAAAGGTTGTTTTGCATGATTTACCCTCCTTTGTAAGCTCTCTCGATTCTAATATTAGATGAGTATTTATAAAAATATAAAAAATTTAATTGACATAAACATAAGACTCACACCAAAGTATTAGCTAAAATTGCCCAAGTGGTCGACGCCTTTACAAAAACGGGGAAGGGAAAGTACGTGTCGGACTTTTGGGCCAAGCTGCAATTTTAGTTCTTCATTGGTAAATCTGTTCTGGTCCCTCATTTTTCACCAATTGAAACTTTGACCTACATGGTTCTCATTTCTTTGGTTTTAGTCCTAAATATTTTGATTTCTTTTAATTAAGTCTTTTTCTGCACAAATAATCAAAATTATGTAAAATCACATAAAATCTCATAAATCTCATCCAATTATCAATAATATAAAAAAAAAACTCTTTTTTTATACAAAAAATAAAAATTATATAAAATTACATAAAATCTCATAAATCTCATCCAATTATCAATAATATAAAAAAAAACTCTTTTTTTATACAAAAAATAAAAATTATATAAAATTACATAAAATCTCATAAAATATATCCAATTATCAATAATATAAAAAAAATTCACATTAATATATATATAAAATTCCAACTTATCATCTCTATCCATTAATTTTTTTGCTAATCAAAATAGTGAAAAAATGCCTTCGTATTCCACTTGTGGGTGTTGTGATTAATTTCACCACAATTAATCTCCTGTTTTTAACTCAGACATTAGCATTGGAAACTCTTTAATTTCAACGTGATTAGCCAACATCTTAGAAAGCATGTGGCAAAATCATTTTACTTAATGTGGTTTGGCACTTGGGCGTTCCTTGAAATCTTGTTTCCCTCTTCCAAAATTATTACTCAAGTTCAAAAGAGGGTGATTGAACTTTGATTGATCTAGAGAAGTAAAACTAAATACTAATAGTTAAAACTTCATTTTAGTTCTTCTACTTCAATAAAAAGCTTCTTTTTAGTTTTTCTATTTAAGAAAACCCATTTTTAATCCCTGAAGTTTATTATTTGGTCCATTTTTAGTCCATTATTATCTTTTTACGCATATAATGTATTTAATAATGGAAATTTTAAAGTAGATGAACTAAAAAAGAAATTTTTTACAATAGATGGACCAAAAAAAGGCTTTTTTTAGTCTTTTTTTAATCAATTTACTTTGAAATTTTCATCATTTAACATGTTACATGTGTAAAAGATAATAAAGGAATTAAAAAGAGACTTGATAATAACTTAAGAGACTGGATAATGACTTAAGGGACTAAAAATGAGATATCTTAAATAGAGACATTAAAAATGAATTTTTTGTTAAAGTAAAATACCCAAATGAGGTTTCAACCAATACTAAATAATGTAGTAGAGGGACCAAAACGAAATTTTAACCAACACTAAATAATGTGCCGCGTGAACTGGCGTAGTAAGATGGTAACTGACAATGAAAGGAAGTCCACTTGCAACTTCTACCATAAAAAACAACCTTGATTCTCGGGGCATTCTGTAGTGGTTAAAAATAAATTCTCGTGTCTTTTCCAATTTCTGCAGGGCAGCCCTGTTTGAACTAGCGCAACTGGGGGCACATGGTGGGCTCGTTGCCCTTTAAGTCTCCACATCGTTGTTCTTCCATTGCCTTGCCAGCCAGTCTGCCAGACCCCTCCAAGTCATCAACCCATAACAACACAAAAACCAAGTTAGCCTTACTGTTCTAATACAATCATGCCGAATTCAGTGGCACAACATTAGATTTTGATGCTGACGTCCATGAATAAGTCCAGAAGTAACAAATAATTCATATTAAATTCTTATGCTTAATTTGAATCTTTCCTATTCCGTGTGGTCCCTCCAACCCAATCTTATCTCAATGGTCCTGATCAATTTGGGGGAGTCAGTGCAAACTTAGCTAGAGCAAATGGAAAAGTTGCAATGGATTGGGCAGAAAACTTGTACAGCTGTCCCCATGATTAGATACCTTATGGACAAGTTGAGATATTAAACGCAGATTTCGCATATAATCTAGAACAATCCTCACAAATTGTATGTATTAAGTTGTTAAGAACCTGAGTCAATTCAAAAAATTGTTGAAATCTATTAAAAAAAATTCCCAAAGCGATAGATTATTAAAGGGCCGTATATTCTTCTTGCTGACCAATAGTGATTACAATGTCATTAAGTCAAGCAAGCTCCTCACATATTGCATTCTGTCAAATTTCTTGACCCCAAATTCTCTATATATACCACACCAGAAGTTCACAAACAATTATCCCCTTTCTCTCCATGGCTACACTACATGTGCTTCGTTTTGTGTGGCTTGCCTTCACCTTTATCTCCTACCTTGTGCCCCTGGCAGAGTCCGACAATTATATTGTCCACATGGACATAACAGCCATGCCAAAAGCCTTCTCCGACCAACATAATTGGTACTTAGCCACCCTTAATTCTTTATCGGTTGATTTTTCAGCCAGCTCCAATTTGCCGACCGCCTCCTCTAAGCTTATATATAGCTATACTCATGTTATTCAGGGTTTTAGTGCAAGCCTTTCTCCGAATGAGCTTGAGGCCTTGAAGAGCATTCCGGGCTACGTTTCTTCCACTAGAGACTTACTTGCCAATGTTGACACCACTCATTCATACCAATTTCTTGGCCTGAATTCAAACTCTGGTGCCTGGCCGGTGTCCAATTACGGCCAAGACGTCATAGTTGGGGTGGTTGATACCGGTGTTTGGCCAGAGAGTGAAAGTTTTAATGACGAAGGAATAACGGAAATCCCATCCAGGTGGAAAGGCAAATGTGAGAGTGGCACCCAATTCAACTCCTCATTGTGCAACAAGAAGCTCATCGGAGCTCAGTTCTTCAACAAAGGCCTAGTTGCCCGCAATCCCAATATCACCATAAAAATGAATTCTGCACGGGACACCGATGGGCATGGGACGCACACTTCTTCAACGGCCGCGGGAAATTACGTATCTAATGCATCATACTTTGGCTATGCCCCCGGTACCGCAGGAGGAATCGCCCCAAGGGCTCGAGTGGCCGTGTATAAAGTTCTTTGGGACGAAGGTGGTTACGCGTCTGACATAATTGCGGGAATCGATCAAGCAATTACTGACGGTGTTGATGTAATTTCCCTTTCATTGGGATTTGACGGAGTTGAATTGTACGAAGATCCGGTTGCAATAGCAACATTTGCTGCCCTGGAGAGGAACATTTTCGTCTCTACTTCTGCCGGAAACGAGGGGCCGTCGGTCGGGACTTTGCACAATGGCATCCCTTGGGTTTTGACGGTCGCGGCCGGTACCATGGATCGTGAATTAGGCGCTGTTTTAACTCTGGGTAATGGAAATTCAGTCAGGGGAACGTCTCTGTACCCCGGTGATTCATCTTTGACCCAATCTCCAATCGTTTTCACGGATAAATGTGACAATCAGATCGAATTGAAGAAACTTGAAAATAAGATTGTCGTTTGCGAGGACAAGAATAACTCAATCAGTGACCAATTCTTCAATGTATCGAGCGCGAATGTCACCGGAGGTATCTTTATTTCAAATAGCAGCGACGTGGAATTCTTTTACCAGAGCTCATTTCCGGCCATCTTCATGACTCCAAAAGAAGGTGAAATCATCAAAGACTACATTAAGAGCAGCACCGAGCCAAAGGCCGCCATGGAGTTCAAGAAGACATTTCTGGGGACTACCCCCGCCCCCAGCGTGGCTAGCTACAGTTCTAGAGGACCATCTTTTAGCTGCCCATTTGTCCTGAAACCTGACATTCTGGCTCCTGGAGTGTTAGTCTTGGCTTCTTGGTCTCAGATTAGTTCGGTGGCCCAATTGAAATCACAGCTTCTGTATGGCAAGTTCAATATAATCTCCGGTACGTCCATGGCATGCCCCCATGCATCTGGGGCGGGGGCGCTGCTGAAGGGGGCACATCCGGAATGGAGTCCGGCAGCCATCCGGTCAGCCTTGATGACTACATCGGATTTAACGGACAACACCCTTAGTCCCATCAAAGACATTGGTCTCGATTTCGCTACCGCCTCACCTCTGGCCATGGGAACAGGACACATTAATCCAAATAAGGCTGTAGACCCTGGACTGATTTATGATGCTACCATTGAGGACTATGTCAATCTCCTCTGTGCACTGAATTTTACAGCGAAGCAAATACAAACGATCACAAAATCATCTACCAACAATTGCTCTGCACCATCGCTGGATCTCAACTACCCTTCTTTCATCGCCTTCTTCAATGTCAAAGGCTCAAAATCGAATTCAAAAACAGTAATAGAATTTCAAAGAACAGTGACTAATGTCGGGGACGAAATGTCAACTTATACGGCAACAGTGACGGTAATGGAAGGATTTCAGGTCAGTGTGACGCCGGAGAAGTTGGTTTTCAAAGAGAAGAACGAAAAGAAATTTTACAAGCTGAGTATAGAAGGTCCAAGTATGATGAAGGATATTTTTGTTTTTGGTTATCTCAGTTGGGAAGATAGCGGAGGTAAGTACGTGGTAAGGAGTCCCATTGTTGCGACGAGGCTGCAACTTGATTAATAAGTGCCACTTCTAATAGTAATTTTCTTTGTAATGAATAAAATTAACCTTACATTAAAGACGATATGAAACAGAGCCTGAGATTGGGCTTAGCCATTCATATTGATAGTTTCAGTATTTCATATATTTTATATAGTTTCAGTATTTATATTTTATATAAAATATATTTTATATTTTATATTATAGTTTGTAATTATGTGATGTTCTTTGTGCCACCTTGACTATGGGAAAATATTGTGTTTTGTTTCTTAAAATAATCAACTAAAAGCCAATAACTTAAATAACATAGTAATCATCTCTTTTTATTGGAAATAAAAGATTCTAAATTCGAGTTACATGACATGTGGATGGGGTGAGATAAGGGATGAAAGATAATTACTTTTTATTGTGCAATTAAGATTAAAATATATATAATCATTAATCAACTAAAAAAATTATGATTGATAGTTTCCTTTTTAAATTTTGGGTTTAATATAATGGATACAATTTTCTCCTCTTTTTTATTTTTATTTATATCATTTTTTTGGTTTAAATGATCAACTAAAAAAATTATTTTGGATTTATATCATTTTTATTTATATCATGGTATACTGAGACTTAAATTTAAAATTTTTTATTCCTTATATAGATAAGAGACTATGTTTAGCATATTTTATGGTTATGCTTTATATTTTTAGTTTTTAGTTTTAGATTTTAAAACTTTAAAAATTTTCAAATAAAATTAAGTAGATTTTATAAATTAATTAATTTAAAATTTTTTATATTAATTTTAAAATTGTACACTTAATAAGTTAAATTTTTAATTTTAATTATTTAAAATTTAAAAATTAAAACAAAAAAATTCAAAACTACGATAATACTAAATGAAGTCTTAATCACTCAAAAATATAATAAAATGCACTACAAGAGTGCTCTATAATCCTACTCCTCTTTTTTAAAATAATTATATTTTTTTTAATTTTTTTAAATAATAATTATTTTGAGAAAAAATATATATATCATGTTAGTTTAGTGGCGTCTGAGAGGAGACAACAAGGAGAGATGTCAAAACTCTCATTTTCATGTAGGAAATAGAGAAGAAGTTTCCTTTGGGCTTTTCTTAGTTCTTACATTCTCTTTATTTTGTCCCCATAAGATTTTAGTGCTACATCAATTTCCTCCCAACTCCCATCCAACCCAGCTTGATTATTGCGCCGTTTGTTTTGTTAACTTCCCATAAATATTCATTACCTATTTTCAAAAAAAAAAA